ATTTTTATTTACAGCTTCTTCGGTTTGCTTTGGTGATTTTTTTTCACCATTTAGATAGAAAAGGAATTATACTTCTAAAAAGCACCAAAATAAGAGGACGACCATGCTAAGATAATACGCAGGCACTCTTTGAATTTGGTGTTATAAATATTTACCTTCACAGTTTCTCTCCTGTCTGCTCTACCCACTGGGGGTCCACCTCTCCCAGGGTCTCTCCCATAAAGTAGACTGAGTGGTCCTTTTAAGATGGAAACTGATCACATCACTCCTCTGCTCAAAACTCCCAAAGGCTCCCTAAGTCACTCAAACCATTAAAGTCCTTAAGGGGCCCTGGAGCCCTGGGTGATATGGCCACCACTACTCTCCGACCTCAATTCCTGCTATTCTCATCTTAACTCACCCTGCTTCAGCCACACTGGCCTCCCTGCCCTGCTCCCTACCCACCAAGGAGATTTGGGCTCTAACTCTTCCCTTTGCTTAGAGAGCTCCTTCCCGAACATCCGCCTGACTGACTCTCACACTACCTTCCAAGAGTTCTGCTCAGACCTCAGCTCTCACTTGGGCTCTCCTGGTACTCTGTTCACGACCACAATCCCACCTCCCGCACCTTATCTCCCCATACTCACCGTACTCTATTTCTACTACATAGCAGATAATGTACTTAGAATGGTGATTATTAATTATCAGTCTCTCTCAACTCAAAGCTTGACTCTGCGAAGAAATAAATTATTGTCTTTATTTACTCATGTGTCCTAAATATTTAGAATAGTGGCTCTCAACAAAATTTGTTAAATGAATGAATAAGCATACATAGATCAAATTACCAGACAATGCTTGTCATAATTAAACTTAGAGACAAAACATGTGTAACCACTTTTTATTGACAGCTAAGCTTTTAAATCACTTTGTAACTTATTACTGAGTTAGAAATGTGAATGAAGTCAGTTCCTTTTTTGCTCTTTTGTGGGTTTCAAGGAATCATGGATTTCAAGGAATCATGGATACTGATTTCTACAGAGAACCTTCCCAAGTGAAATATACAGGGTCCCAACTACGTTAAGCCTTTTTAGTAAGCATGTCAAAGGTCCCCATTTCTAATTGCTCTGTGAATCAGTGGATGTCCTTTAAACTCTCCATCCTGTGAAGTCTTCTCAAGAAGAAGCCTCTTGTTCACTCAGAGAAGACCCTCATAATAAAGACCCTCATAAAAAATAATAAAGACTGTTCTTTATTCTCTTGAGGCAGGTGGTGCCAGCCATTAGAAGCAGAGGTCCAAACTGGTCTACTGTTGACATCTTACAGTTTGCAGCAATTAGAATGACTGGACACTGAATTACATTTTTAATTCAAGATTCTAATTTTGGGGAGATAATTTCCCAGAATAGCATTATTTTATATTTTTGAGTCATCATTCCAAAATGAAAGCTCACTACCCAAAATATTTTTTTTAAAGCAAGAACTTAGAGAAAAAAATTTTTCACCTAGGCTTATATAGCTCAGTCATGGCTAGCTTATGCCAGATTGAGCCAAAACAGTAAGTTGATTCATTCTCTGGAAAAAAGTTACCATGAGTTTTTCAATTTTCATTTATTTCAATAAAAAGCTTAAATGTTATTTTAATCAAGTGTCTTGCGTGTCTGTTTTTCAGAAACAAGAGGAAACAAAAACAAATCTGCCTGGAAAATATGTGAACAGGAGGAACATATTCTGTTTCTAAGGAAAATAAAATCTAACTGTTCAACATTTATCTATTTCCAATATATTTCTTTAGAAAAAAAAAATGTTAGCCTTAGTGGCTTTCCAGAAAAATTCTCAACTTAGAATTTGATTAATGACTCAGAAAATCCTAAAGAAACCTCCTACTTCAATGACCTAATTTACTGGTCTCATATACATTCCTTCATTTTTTTGTTTTGAAACAAGCATTCCCTGAGCTTCTACTGTAACATCAGGTAAAACTCACATTGTATAATTCAATTGATCTATGATCCCTCATCTAAAAAGACAAGTTGGTTGCTTTTACTTTCGGTAGAGTTCTAGATGCCTGACAATGCTCTCAGTAAGCTGTGATACTAGTTGCCACTAGAATACTAAAAATCACAGTATTTTAGAACTAAACTGAATCATATAAGTGTCATGGGGGACAGACAGTAGGAAGGAGAGAGAATTTCAGGAAGAGAAGGATGGAGGACTGATCAAATCATTGTGTGTCACAGGTTAAAATGGGAAAGACAGACAGAGAAGAAAAGACAAACATAGAGATGGAGACAGAGAGACAGAGCTAGAAAGAGAGAGAGGGAAGAGAGAGACAAAGAGAGACAGAAACAGAAAAACTAAACAAAAATAAATGCTTCTCTATTAAACCAAGGTGTGTCTATTTAGTCTTTCCTAAATTCAGAAGCTGATTTTAAAAGAGGAGAAAGACTCCATTAAGGGCACATTATGAATATATTAAAATGGGACATATTGTAAGTCTAGTTAAAAAACCAGTCTAAATTTTACCATATTCAGATTTAATTTTGCTTAGTTTAATAGACTAGTCCTATTGCATAGAGATTTTGATAAACACACTCAGTCAACAAATAATTATTTCTGGTTTTGGTTACTAGCCAAGTAAACTAGAAAAGGGACCACAATTCTCCACTGACAGCAGGTGACAACAGTAGAGGTCATCATTTAAATGTTGTCTAATATCCTAAATCCAGAAACTGGCAAAAACACAAAGATGTAAACTTCATCACACAAAATAGAAAATTCTGACAGAAGAGGTCGGTAGGTGAAGGAGCTGCTGTAACCTATCAGAACTTCCCATTACTTGGGTCCAAGGATGGACAAACACCGTAGCAGGGGTGGAAAGAACATGTACAATAGAACGAGACACACCAGGGTTCCCTTCTGAGGCACCCCGTTCACTGCATGTGTAGCCAGAACATTCTACCTCTGAACTTCTGTTTCCTAAATCACGAGATGAGGACAGCCATATCCACCTTCCCATGACCTAACAATAGGAAACAATGTTTAAAATCAGAAACAAAGGCACTAACCACAACAGAAGTAATGGATGAACCTGCCACACTGAAATCAAGAAGAACTGTCTACAAAAAGAAACCACATTGAGATATCACCTTCCACCAGTTAGAATGGCCAAAATCAGCAAGACAGGAAACAACATGTGTTGGAGGGGATGTGGAGAAAGGGGAACACTCTTACACTGTTGGTGGGAATGCAAGTTGGTGCAGCCTCTTTGGAGAACCGTGTGGAGATTCCTCAAGAAATTAAAAATAGAGCTTCCCTCTGACCCTGCAATTGCACTACTGGGTATTTACCCCAAAGATATAGATGGAGTGAAAAGAAGGGCCATCTGTACCCCAATATTTATAGCAGCAATGGCCATGGTTGCCAAACTGTGGAAAGAACCAAGATGCCCTTCAATGGACGAATGGATAAGGAAGATGTGGTCCATATACACTATGGAGTGTTATGCCTCCATCAGAAAGGATGAATACCCAACTTTTGTAGCAACATGGACGGGACTGGAAGAGATTATGCTGAGTGAAATAAGTCAAGCAGAGAGAGTCAATTATCATATGGTTTCACTTATTTGTGGAGCATAACAAATAGCATGGAGGACATGGGGAGTTAGAGAGGAGAAGGCAGTTGGGGGAAATTGGAAGGGGAGGTGAACAATGAGAGACTATGGACCCTGAAAAACAATCTGAAGGGTTTGAAGAGGTGGGGGGATTGGGAGGTTGGGGGAACCAGGTGGTGGGTATTAGAGAGGGCACAGATTGTGTGGAGCACTGGGTGTGGTACAAAAACAATGAATACTGTTATGTTGAAAATAAATTTTTAAAAATGATTTAAAAAAAAAGAAATCATGAAACCGTCTAAAAAAGTAAAAGCCATGAAACAGAAAAGGAGATGTACCTTACTTTTAACTGACAATAAAGAAACTTTATAAACACAAAATAATAATAGTAAGACAGCTAAAATATGCTAAATATTTCAGACACTAGACAAATAAAATTCAAATGGCCAATAAATACGAAGAGATGTTCATTAATAATCAGTGAAATTCAGATTAAATAATACTGCTTTTCAGGGTTATTGGGGGCAGTGGTAAATGGTTATTTATTTAAAGCACCTACATAAGTCCTGGCACACGGAAGGTAGAAGAACCATAAATAAACTTCCCCAAATAAGCTTTGCTTGGATCCTTCTGGGGCTATCACTATAAAGTCAACAAGCATCGAAATACAGAGCAGCACAATAGCACACGTTACGGTCAGTGCTGTGAATTGTGTAAGACTGATGAATCCCACACCTGTACCCCTGAAACAAATAATACATTATATGTTAATTTAAAAACTCTTAAAACTGAAAAATAAATAAGTAAGTAAATAAATAAATAATAAATACAAAGCAACATGCCTCAGTCTTAACATCCATTAATAACCTGAACTTACGATGGATGCTTCCAAAGCTGAGAATTAAACATGGACTTCTCTCTAGTGAATATACAGAAAAATTACTCTACCTGCAGATTGAATGCACTAACCCCATTCCTGGCTTCCTGATGCCTTTTGGATTCTAATTTTCCCTTCATCTATGGCCTTCATCCCCTTTATGTTCATTTTGCATTGTTATAATGCCTGCACCCAGGAAAGGCACTTTCAGCTCTTTCTGAAGACCAGTAGGGTATAAGTAAACATTATAAAACAAATCTCTGCCTGTAAGCACTGGCCTAGAAGCCCTGTGCATTACCATAAGTCCTGTCAGCAAGATACATCTGTGGGTCACACACAAATAAACCAATTTTTTCATACCAGGGGGTTGCTATAGAGAAGACTCAAAATTTGAGAACTGCACTTGCTGCTTGGCAGGTACCTTAATTTAGCCCATTCTAAAAATTTATTGGTCAAAGTACATTCTATGCCATTGGAAGGAATGACACCCACGCACTTGATCGTGACCAATAGACTAATGAGGTCAGTACGTACCAAAGGAGAGAAAGTCTCTGCAGAGTAAGGAGGGGGTGGTGTCTCCACAGCGATTTCAGGGTCCTCCTGTTCACTCTCACTGTAGCATTCTATACAGAAATGAAAATGTTTTATGTTTCAACACTGTCATCACTCATTCCATAATGCATGAGCAGAGGTTTTGCTCCATCTGGCTATTGCAATTCCAATCCGATTCAGAAAGGACTCATCTATGGAGCTACCTGGTGCAAGGAGATTACATAAGAGGGGAGAAAATGAATAACCATATTCGGGTTTCCGCCCTCACTGGTGTCTAATATGTAGGAAGAGGACTAGCCATAGCTCAGGGAAAATAAAATAATTCCTCAAGAGAGGTGTGAGTCATATACTAAGGGATCATAAAATCAGGAGTGATTCATTTTGATCATAGGAGCCATAAGGAGCTGAAAATGGCAGCATATATAAACCATCAACAGTGCGCACAGAGTAATATGAGTACCAGTTTGAGGGTGTTGTCTGAGCCAACTATATGGAGACCCCTAACAGATGTGGCCAAAAAAAAAAAAGAAAGAAAGAAATGAAGCTGAAAGTTTGCTTGAGGCCATATCACAGAAGGCCTTAAATACCAGGATAGGGAGAAGATTTTTGTGTAATGATTTTTTTCCTCACAATCTATAACTGCATTTCAAATATACAATGGGTATTGATGTTGTGGCAAAGAGGACCAAGGAGATGGTCAGGACACTGATTTCACACTCTTGCACTGTAGTTCTTTATTCTTTTAAATCACATTACCACTTTTCCATTTCTCAGATTCAGCTTTTATAATTTTTGCTATCCAAAGATATAACACCCCACATTCTAATTCCCAAGTTTTATATGGCCTGAGCACTTCATAAATAGTATTAGCTTTGTGTCCCTGGCACCGAAAGCCTCCTTCTTCTCAATATTCAGGAGTAATTGCATCATTAAGAAGATTTTGACTCCTGTAGCTTTGAACCCAGAAAACTACAGACTGAGCTAAAAATATGGCCTGTGTCCTAATCTGACATTCAGTTTCCTAGCACAGACATAGAGTAATTAGCCTCAGCATACACCTGGTGGAAATATTAAAATATCAGAGAGGAAATAGTGGGATGAAAGTTATCTGTCTAGATCATGACGAGATCATGTCTCTGAGTAAGAATTCAGTGAGTGGGGCAATAAAACATTTGCACTGGCAGTTGTTCGAGATGTCAGTGAAGCCTACAGCTGCTAATGTGTGGGTGAAGTGTAAAAAGCATTCTTAGCCAGCATGGGAAGCTCTATTCCATGTTGGTGAGTCTGTGTGAATATGTCTGCTTCTACATATTTTCAGATAATTTTAAATGCCAAAGTATGTTTCATTAGGACAAGACTATGCATAGAACTTGACATTGTATTTCCAATCTCATCCTAATAATCTTGCTAAATTTTCAGAAATTTAAAATAGAACATACCTTCATCCTTTGTAACAGATTCATGATGGACTACAGCGAACCCAAGCTTGTTTAACCACCTAAAATTCAAACAGAAAATAAATGCTTAGCCAAAGAGATTGGTCATCTCCTATCCACCTTCCCCCTAGACCCTGAGGGAAGGTCTTGTGCCAGACTTTATAATGCAGTTATCATCATTCTAGAGTCAGTCTAAACATTTCCAGAAACAGCATGAGTTTGTGGTATCGAAACCTAAAACCACTTGTTTCACAATATTTTCCTTACTCGGGATTTTCTTTCTAAGACAAGAAACAAGGTGGTCCATTATCCAGCTTGCTAAGGTGGGCAACTACATTAAATATTCTAAATATATGAACAAATATATCTTTTGTAGTTGTGCATTTCAAATTTTTAGCAACCATCAAAACTTCTATCACTGAATTTAGTAATCTGACCATTAAAGTCCCATCTCTATAATTCTTAAAATGTAATTTTATTTCACAAAAAATAAAGAAAAGATGATCTCTTTTCAAGGTAGGATTTTTGTATTAATCAGTAAAAGATCTCAGAGTTTGGCAGGTATCCCTAAACTACAGAAATTTTTAATTCCTTGAAGAGTTTTCTTAGGTAAAAAATGACAATGTCCTTATCTTACCAATTTACCATTTTATTGGCAATGATTTTCAGCTAAACATCAATAACAACAACAAAAAAAAACTAAACAAACCTTAAGGAACTCAAACTTGGCTCATGACCTCAGGCCATTGGAGTTCCTTCTCAAGGGGTTAGTCAGGAACATATTTTATGACACAAATTTGTAAAAGACACAAAATGCATCTATTTCATATGTTCTTAGCTATATAACCTTCTACTTAAAAAGAAAATATTGTTTTGGGGTGGTAATACTCTGATTTATTTTCCACTTCTTTCAATATTTTTTTACATTTTTAAAAAGTATTCCATATTATGTGTTCACTCTTTTTCTTTTTTTGAGAAACCAGTACATTCGGTAGCAGTCTAAGTCAACCAATACCAATAAAATAAGAAGAGTGCTATGTACTTATTGACTCACTTATGCTCTCCATTTCTTCTAGTCCTGTACTGCCTTGTGAATTAGCCAGCACACTGCTCCCCTACCACTGCAAAATTATTGCATATTCCCAAGTCTTCAATCGTCAACAAATTAGGCATCCTTCCCCGACCCTCAACCTGCCATGGTCTTGCCATATTTATTTTTTAGTAACAGGAAATACATAAATTTCATTTTTAAAAACAAATAGGGCTTTCTGCAAGAAGGTAAACGAGCTTCAGCCTCTTTTAAGAATCCCCTCAGGTGTGCCTATGTGGCTCAATCCACTGAGCATTCTACTCTTGATTTCTGCTCAGGTTATGATCTGTAAGGTCATAGGATTGAGCCCTGCATGGGGCTCTGTGCTCAGTGTGCTCAGTGAGGGTCTGCTCCTCTCTCTTTCTCTGTCCCTTGCCCTCTGCCGTTCTCCTGTTTTCACACTTTCTCTAAATAAATAAGTGGTTTTAGGTTTCAATACCACAAACTTACACGTTGTTTCTGGAAATGTTTAGACCAACTATAGAATTACAACAATTGCATAATAAAGAAACAATATCTTTTTTTAAAGGCATTTTTAGAAGCCCCTTCAGTATCTGACAACTATGAGCTCTTTAATAGCCACTTAAAACCAGACTAACACATGAGCCCAGGCACCACCATAGGAACCAGAAATTGTTCATCAAGACCTGATAGAATAATAAACAACCAACAAAAACAAAAACAAACAAACACAAACAAACAAACAAACAAAACGGGAAATCACAGAAAAAGATACAAATGGCTAGTAAAAAAAAAAAAAAAAAACGGAAAAAAATTACCAGCCTCCATAGTACTTTGGGAAATGCACGTACAAGCACAAGAAAATATTCACCACTAGACTGGCAAAACTTTAAAAAACCACTGATCTAGAATTTAGGAGGAAACATTCTCATCCTTTGTTTAGATGAACATCAAAATTGATATCTCCAATTTTTAGCAGGCAATTTGATGATACTAATCAAAATTTAAATATCCACCCCCTAATTATAAATGTCTATCCTACAAATGACAAATAAATGTGGAAGGATGTTAATCCAACAAGACTTGCAATGGCAAAAAGAAAAAACACTGAGACGATATAATCATCCATCAACAGGAAAATGGACAAAGTATAGCACTAATTTCTTTAGTACAACAAATGTTATTATGAAGCTAATACAAAGACTGGGATAGAAAGTCTTCTGATGGCCTGTAAAATCCTAACATACTAGTAAGTAAAAAAAGCAAGTACAGAACAATATGACTGGCCTAATTAAATGTACTTTTAACACTATGTATTTGCATATGTGCGTGAGTTGGTATGCAAAGTGAAGTATCAGGAAGGATGTATGTCAGTCATACTGTTAAAAGTAGTTAATCCTGGGGTGCTTGGGTGGGTCAGATGGTTAAGCACCTGCCTTTGTCTCAGGTCACCATCCCAGGGTCCTGAAATAGAGCCTTGTGGCTGGCTCCCTGCTCACTGGGGAGTCTGCTTCTCCCTTTCTCTCTGCCTCTCCCCCTACTTGTGCTTTCTCTACTCTCTCTCTCTCTCTCTCTCTCAAATAAATAAATAAATGAAATCTTTAAAAAAAAAATTAATCCTGAAGAGAAAAGTTGAACTGGAAGGTGAAGTTGGGGGTATGGAAAGGTTTTCACTTTACATACTAACGTATTATAAGATTTTTTACAAGAATATGTTTTGTGTGTCATTTAACTAGAAGAAACATTTTAACGTACAGTTTCAAAAACTGATCAGGCAAAGCACAGTAAATTTGGTGGTTCAGTTTTAAAATACCAAAATAAACTATTCTTAGTTTATATCTGGTTTCATGACTGTATACAGACCCTACCCCCCCACACAAAAGCACCTAAAAATAAAATAGACCAATATTTTAACATATCAAGACAAAAAATACTTTTGAAGTGAGAATGCCTGAAACAAACAAACAAAAAAAGACATTTCTAAGTTCCTTCCAGAGCACAGAAATACAGAAATATTGCAAAATGAAGGAGTATGGACAATAAAGAAATCATTCTTCCCAGCTCTTACCTAACTCTCATATTCTTTTAATAGCCACCATTAGTTACTTGCTGTGGAAAACATGATTGTTTAGAATCTTGTTTGACTGTTTCCTTTCCGGAATCCACTGGCTTAAAGGACCTCTTTGCTAAGAACTTTTTAAAAAAAAAAACATCGAGATAGTAGAAAAATTTCTATTCGTGCTTAAATAGATGGATGCACAAAAAAACTTATATTTACATAAAAGAAGATGACAGATGTTTCCTGGGAGTTTGTTGTATATTAACTCGATGTGTTGGAGGAGCCCACGTGTTAAGAAATTGATATACAAAACAGGAAGGTTCTTCCCACAAACACCGTCTGAGAAAGGCAGCCACCAACCAGTCTTTGTTTAGAAAGCAACTCTTCCATTACCCTTAATTACTTACCCCTGTACTTGTAAATTGAGGGTCCCTGCAGAATACACAGCATTTCTATTAAACGTAATTGCCTTTCCCTACATTGTCCCTGAGAGAAATGTCACCACCCAAAAATGCAGTTTCCCAAGGAAGCAAACTTCTAAAACAGGAGGCATCTCTCCACAGGCCATTCCCTCCTTCCTCAGATTCTCTGCATCTCACCAAGAAACACCCAGCCACATTATTTACTGTCTTAAACTGGCCACCTCAGTAGGAAAGGGAGCTCTTCAGGTGCCCCTCAGAACAAATCTTTTAATGTCATCTGCATCATCTTGTGAGAGAAGAGAGAAGTTAACTTGGAGGCCCAAAGGGATTCCACCTTGATGCCGATTATACTACCCCAGCACGCCAGGAAGGACCACTGGGAACTAAGCAGTAATTTGGACCCCCACTATGACAGGCTTCAAGTACTTCTGGGTAAGCCATTAAGCCTTTCACACACCACCAACATCCCTACAGCCGGCTAATCAACAGGATTCCATTACCAATACAAATAAAGAGAGAAATAAAGAACTTAGTGACGTCTTTTGTCTTCTTTGGGGGCATCTGCTCTTCTTTTTCTCAAACTCTTGAGAAAGCCAAGGGGAGAAAGCTAACATCAGAAGGAGAGTAGATACAACTTCTCTCTTCATTTAAGTAAATAAAAGTCTTTTTGGAAGACCCAGTTTGACTGTTCCTTGTCTTGTCATTTAACATGAGGTTTCCCAACGATCTGTAGAGAGCCGTTCTGCCCTCATCTGAAGGTTGTGGCGGGTGCTTAGGAAAGAGGTTGAGAATGTTTCTAGCTAGATGAGGCTGCTGAGGGGCTGTCCTGTGAGAAGGGTGTGTGTGTGTGTGTGTGTGTGTGTGTGTGTGTGTGTGTGTGTGTGCAACTTACACATGTTTATTGAAAAGGAGCTTTTTTCTTTAGGTTTCTAGAGCAAGAGGATAAAGAGAAATTAAATAGAGAAGATAAGGAAATCATTATGTATAACTAAACAAAAGAGATTAAATCATAAGCTCTCTGAATGAATTATGTTTGTATTTTTAATTCTATTGCCCAAGTTCTGCCACAGTGGGGCACCCTAGTAGGTATTCCACAGACACATATTTATTAGTTATGTGAAAGTAATGAGGAACACTGAGAAATCTGAGAATAAGGCCTCAGACTTAGGGCCTTCTGATAGAATAGAAGGCCCTCTGATGCCTCGAGTGCCTCAAGTATATATGGTCTCATTCAATTAACAGCCATTGTGATCACACTATAATCTAAACCAGCAGGGGATGGAGTGGAGCAGGTATGCATTTATTCCACTTCTTTAAACAGAAAAAAAAAAAAAAAACAGGAAATGGAGTTAGGGATATAAAATTTTATGTGAGATGTACTCTGAGCAAGGACGTTTTGCAAAATTTTTTAGGACAGAACATGGATTAGTGATAAACACGGGGACCATCATGATAATTACACAGCACATAAGAAATTTTACAGATTTTTTTCACATAGAATTCTAAAAGCTGTGAGATTGGTCACAGTACTTTCAGGCTTTTCTCCCTGTGATGCTGATTCTCACTGTAACATTTTCTTATAACGACTTCTGTCCTTTCCTCCTCAACGTTGTAGTTCCCCCAGAAGAATCTTATTACTTCTCCCTAAAATAGCCATTTTGATAGATGTAGTTTTCCAAATGGTGGAGAAGAAAGCAAGAGCACTTTAAGTGCTAAGGAGGTTAATCCTTAAAGCAACAGAAATAAATAAAACAAGAAATAGGATGAAAATATACTTAAAACTCAAACACCTGACCAAAATAATCTGTTCCCGAAAAGATTAGATTTAGTAATTTTCTCTACTTACACACTCATTTCCTGTGCATTCTCAGCTGCAAAATAAAAGGTCTTGATCTGTGGATGGCTGATCTTAAAAGCACTTGAAGGGGAAAAAACACAGCACATTAAGAATTAGAAATTAATGTAGTTGTCAAAGGGTTTAAAATAAATCAAATGTAAGTGTGGTACTTCATCTGCTTTCTCTGTAGATTTACAAAAAATAATTTAGTTACATTAAATATCCATTGCCTAATCTCTATTTCATGTAGAGAGCAGAGAATTAATTCATCATGTTGAGGCATCCAGAATAGGACTGAGTCTTGGCTAGTTGATAGTTTCTATTTTAAACATATGGGCATATGCTTGTATTTTCATTTGCTCACTGCTTTGCTAGAAAGAGACAATAAATTAAATTTACAATCTCAGAGGTGTCCCTTAAATGCTTATATCAATAAAGCAAAATATTTATTCAAATTCAATCAAATACATACAAGAATGTTATGTGTAGGAACATAACCAAGTATAGAACTTCCACACTGTGACAACACATCAAAAACTTTATCTAAGCCGCCTTCTATGAGTAAAGGAAAAAATATATTTATATTTATTTTCTCTTACGAAAACTATAAAACACTGAAGATTAGCAAACAATGAAGTGTTTCCCCTATATCATTAGATCGGGAAGTCCTGCAGTACAGGTCAGCGTTTTGGTAAATAACCAGTTTGGTCAAAACCACGAAAAGTAACACAACCTTATGTATCTCTGGATATGTGCAGCAACACTAGAGGGGCAGAGACTTAAAGCTAATACCATTTTATTCGTTTTCTTAGAAAAATCTAGCCCGTTGTCACTACTGGTAAAACAGGTCAGTAGAGAAATAAATGACTTTCTGATAAAACAGGAAAAAATGTCAAAGGTAGAAAAAGAACCACAAGAAAAAGGGTAAGAGGGCACATTTGCAAAATGTGACTGGATGCTATCATGGTCAGAACCGGTGAATGGGAATACAGTTGGCTGATCTAGAGCAGTTCTGTGAATTCTAGGCAAGCTCAGACTCTCTGGGCTGTTCTCTTCTCAAGGACGAGAAACTGGTGTCTTTTTTTTTTGGTTCCTGTATGTTCTCAAATCTTTTGGACTTAAATTATATCAGGGTATAATCCCAAAGTCTAAGATAACTCAGAGAATGCTATTTCCAGGATGACAATGTTATGAACTAAAAAGAAGAAACAGGTCTTGCTAGTATAACTGTAGCTCTGGAAAGTCCTATTGAACGAGTCACTCTCTTCACCAGCAAAATATGTTGACATCTGATCTCCTAGCCAATCCTGGATGGGAGCTTGTTTTTCGTTCCATCTCAGACACGGTTGTTAAAAACATGCCGTGCCAAGGCTCCATGGGGTTTTAAGATCCATCTGTTCCACAAAATGAAATTCCAGAAAACAAGAGGTTAAAAGCTTACACTGTTGTTTAGGATGCCAGCCCATAAAATTCAAGAATCTCAGACATTTGGGTGTTATCTCCACTAACTTCCAAATCGCCACATTACTCAAGAAACTAAAATTATGAAGGGATGTTATTCTGGCTCAGGATTTTGTGGAAAACGATAGACAACTTACTGCTTTTTCTTGCATTCAGATGCTCTCTCCACAGTGAAATCGGGCAGGTTGACAAATCCATCAGCCTTCTCTGCCTGAGAAAAATACATACAACAGATATGAAGAAATGAGTCAATCCTAGCAGTAAGTTTATAGAGATAATAAACATTGAATAGAGATTGTATAATGAAATGAAATAGAATCAAAAGATACCTCCCTGGATTAGCATTGGAGTTATCCAGATACATATTTTATGAAAGAAATTAATATTCTCCTGGTAAGTCATCCAGAATCGTTCCATGAGAAGTAACATGACACAGCTTAGTGATGGCCAAGGTAGAGCATGCCTAGAACTTAGCCCACTCCCTTTCTGCCTCCCTGGAAAATTCCAGCGCAAACCCATCAGAGCTCCACTCCCTGCTGAATTAGTAGGTATCCTCGGCATCATCCTCATCTCCAATAAGCCAGTTCTCATACTCCAGGAAGCTACAAGCACAGAAGGTAGAATGTGATTAGCATCCTGGCATACGGCAGACAGAGGCCAGATTTTGGAGTTAACAAATCAAGGTTCATGTCATATCTAACAACTTACTGGTTGTTAGAAGGCTTAAATGAGCCCAAGTAAATAAAACGCTTAATGGATACTCAACAAACAATAGTTCTTCTCCCAAATCTGTAGGTAGTTCTGCAGGGATTAAACTACAGAGCCATATCTTGGAAAATCTCAGTTCCGTAATCAATTCCTAAGAGGCCTTTCTACAAAGGAAAGAATGCAGAAAAAAAAAATGACTCTTTTGGACATCACATGAATGTTCCCTCAAAACAACAAAAATTCTATAGGAAATGTAATTATCGTTCTACCTCTCTGAGAATTTATTAATCTTTATGGATAAAATACAACTGAACCACAAGAAGATTGGATTGCTTATCACAGATAGACCCCAAATCTTCTTCCATCTATACTGGTGTCTCTGAGTAGAGAAATACAGTCCACAAGATTAATCATAAATCAATCAAGGGCTAATTGGAGATGAGTAAAAAATTGATTTTGAAAATACAATCTTGGGACACCCAGGTGGCTCAGTCATTTAAGCATCTGTCTTCCGCTCAGGTCATGATCTCGAGGACCTGGAATCACATTCCACATCTGGCTCTTTGCTCAAAGAAGAGCCTGTTTCTCCCTCTCCCTCTGCCTGCTGCTCCCTCTGCTTGTGTTCTCTCTCTCTCTGACAAATAAATAAAATCTTTTTTAAAAAATACAATCTTAATTTTAGACACCCGCTAGCTATTAGCTTAGTGTCATGGGTCCTCTTACTTCACTTAATTATTCTGCAACTCTTTCCCTTATCCCCAACCAGAGTGCAAGTCCTACTCTTTCTTCAGAAAAATTAAACTGAAACATTCAAACTTATGCCTGTTCCATCTTCCCTCTCCTATATGAGTTAATGTATCCAAACTCTCCATTTGAAATACTTCCTTCATGTAAGACTCAAAACTCAATTCTAAAGGGAACTTCCCTTTCAAAAAATTATATATATATATATTTTTTCATTCAACTCAACTGTTTGTTGACAAACAGGTTATTCATCATTTCGCCGATCTTATCTCAAAAAGAATATAAAGTACTTAAAGAACATAGACTGTGTAAATCAGTTTTTTCTATAACACACAATGCTTCCTATGGGTTCTTATCAGCATTTATAAAAGTATAGTTTTTGGGGTGCCTGGGTGGCTCAGTGGGTTAAGCCGCTGCCTTTGGCTCAGGTCATGATCTCAGGGTCCTGGGATCAAGTCCCGCATCAGGCTCTCTGCTCAGCAGGGAGCCTGCTTCCCTTCCTCTCTCTCTGCCTGCCTCTCTGCCTACTTGTGATCTCTCTCTGTCAAATAAGTAAATAAAATCTTTAAAAAAAAAAAAAAGTATAGTTTTGAAAAACCGTTAGGCTCCGGCAATTCTACTCCTAGATATAAACCCAGAAGAAGTGAAAGCAGGTACCCAAATAAATATATGACTATGCATGTCCACAGAAATATTACTCACAATAGCCAAAAGATAGAAACAGTCCCATCAACAGGGGAATAGATAAACAAATTGTAGTACATCCATACAGTGGAAGATTCATCCATAAAACCAAATGAAGCGCTGATACATGCTACAGTGTAATTGAACCTCAATAGCATTATGCAAAGTGAAAGAAACCACACACAAAACATCACATCTTATATGATTCCATTTATGTCAACTCTCCAGAATAGGTAAATCCAGAGACAAAACACAGATGAGTGGTTGCCAAGGGTTGGGGAAAGTGGGGAATAGGGAGAAACTGTTTAATGGGTATGGGTTTTCCTTTCGGTGGGTTGAAAATGTTTAGAACTAGACAGAGGTGGTGGTTGCACAACATGGTGAGTGTACCAAATGCCACTGGATTGTTCACTTTAAAAAATGGATAATCTTGGGGTGCTTACGTGGCTCAGTCAGTTGAATGTCTGACTCTTGATTTCAGCTCAGGTCATGATCTCAGGGTTGTGAGATCAAGCCCTGAGTCAGGCTCCGTGCTGGGCGTGGATTATCTCTCTCAGGGTGCCTGGGTAGCTCAGTGGGTTAAAACCTCTCCCTTCGGCTCAGTCATGATCCCAGGCTCCCGGTCCTGCATCGGGTTCTCTGCTCAGCAGGGAGCCTGCTTCCTCCTCTCTCTCTCTCTCTTTCTGCCTGCCTGCCTCTCTGCCTACTTGTGATCTCTGTCTGTCAAATAAATAAATAAAATCTTTAAAAAAAAAAAAAGATTCTCTCTCTCTTCCTCTGTCCCTCCTTCCACTCCCTCTTAAAAAAAAAAAAAAAGGATAATCTTATAAGAATTTCACCTCAATTAAAAAACATAACCTATGTTAGGCTGAACTATTTTTATGTAAATTTCTATAATTTTGTTAGAAAGAAAACAACTTATATCCACTATTTGCTTCTATTTCCTCCCCTCATTCATTGCTATGACCACTGTTCCACAGAAGCTGTAGTTACATGAACCCCAATGAGTTTCATATTGCTAAGTCCCATCAACTTTTTTGGTCCTCACTTAACTGAACTCTAGTAACTGATAGTAAAACTCAAGGTCTACGTCTAGACATACCTCATTTCTTGCCTTTCTGCCATATCCCTGTTGATCCCTTTCTCCTCCAACTACTCCTTGCTTGCTTTCACGAAGTCCTCTTATCTTGCCTTTTTCTTAAATGTCAGTGTTCCCCAGACTTCCAAACACAAACCTAATCTCTTCTCATTCCAATACTTTCTGTCAGGGACCATATGCATAATCATGGCTGCATGTATCGCCACAGTTACACACATATTCAAAATCAATACCTCAAACTGGGATTTAATCCTGAGCTCCTGTCCCAGAGATCCAACAGCCTGGCGTACCTGTTCACATGAGAATTCCATAGGTTCCCTCCTACAGGCTGAATATTTGTATCTGCCGACCTCAAATTCCTATTCTGAAGCCCTAAGCCCCAGTGTGATGGTATTTGGAGCGGGGGCATTTGGGAAGTAAGTAGTTTTATATAAAGCCATGCGGGTGAATCCCCCATAATCAGATCAGTGCCCTTATAAAAAGAGGAAATGACCAGAGTCCTCCACCTCTCTTTCTCCACCAAGTAATGTTACAGCAAAAAAAGCAGGCCATCTGCAATCCAGAAGGAAGGCCCTCACCAAACACAGAGTCTGTCAGCACCTTGACTTAGACTTCTCAGCCTTCCGATCTATGAGCAATCAATGACTATTGTTTAAGCCACCAGGTGAAGATATTTTGTCATAGCTGTACAAAGGAAGACACTCTCCAAGAGTCATAAATCCAACACCAAACTTACTATTTTATTCCACAAAACACCTGCTCCTCTTTTTTCTATGCTCTCTACTTCATTGAATGATATCATTTTCAATCCTGTTGTCAAAAAAGAAAACGTGGCAGACATCTTTGACTCTTCCATCCCCTTCTCAGTGCACATACAAGTCATCGCGGAGATGTATTACCACTGCCTCTGTCCCAGGATTCCTTCCATGCACCACCTAGCACCTCCGTCAGCTTACCACTGATTCTCACCTCCCTTACTGTGAAGTCTGGCAAGCCATTTTCAACCTTCCTCTAATTTTGTCCTTCCCTCCAATATGATGTCCAAATCACAGTCGCAGCAAATCGTGATTCCTTGAACACACTTCATGTCACTTCTCTCATTAAAATCCCGCACAGTTCCCAGTGGCCCGTGGGCCATGTCTGAGTGCCTCAGCAGAGCAGGAAGACCCTTCGTGATCCAGGCTTGCATAATTACACACTTTCATCTCCCCCCTCACTCAACCAAAAATACACAAAAATTTCAAACAAAGAAAAAAACTATACTTCCATTTGAGCTGAATTAGAATTGACACCAAATTTATGGCATTATCATCCTGTAGACAATTAATTTTCAGAACAAAAAGCCCATCTTAGATGACAACAATATAAAATCAATCAGCAAAAACTGAAATATAAATAAATTACAAATCTCCATCAGGGTGGATTTTTTTTTTCTGTACAACTGAAATGGCTGAGAGTCCTTCAACTAAGAACCAAAATGAATTTGAGTAAAAGATACCTTAGTTTTTCCTCAGTAAACCTTTCCTTCATTAAGAAAGGCATCTTTTCATTGTACTAAAGACATTCAAGCTGTATTCAAAATCACAGATAACTGTGTCAAATTTGCCTTTGCTTATTTGACTTGTAAAAATGCCTTAAAAATGACAATCACATTGGGAAAATCCTAAAGGAATGACAGTTTTCTCCTCTTCCTCCTCCTTCTTCTCCTCCTACCCCCTCACATCCCTCATTCCTTGTTATACTAACCAAAATAACTTTTCTCAAATGTATCCTTCCTCCTCAATAATTCCTAACTTTCTGAAAAGTTACTTGAAAGTTCTGCATCAGTACCTGAAATTTACCCTCTGTATCCTAATGTAATAAAAATCTTGTTCTTTTGGGGTGCCTGGGTGACTTGGTCAGTTAAATGTCCAGCACTTGATTTCATCTCAAGTCATGATCTGAAGATCATGACAGCAAACCTCACCTCGGGCTCC